TAAACAGTGAGGATAGTAAACGTTTCGATCTATTAGAAATTGTTTTGACACAGCTGAATCTTGCAGGGTAATAATTACTGTGGTTGTGCCACGCAACACTCCTCATGTTGCACGAATGGGCAGGGGCCGGGAAGTACCACGACCACACAGAAGAGTATCGTGAAGTCGTAGTGTTGTACTTCTGCGTTTCGTCTGATAACCGGAGCCCACTTTATTATAGGGTGGCAACGCATCTGCAACCCTACGGGTGTTGCAAATGTCCATGGGCGGCGGTTATAACTTAACATCAGGTTAACCGTCCGCTCGCTTGCCCCCTTATCATATAAGAAAGTATAATATTTCGATCTTAACAGCAGCTGCGAGACGTGGTAACTGGCAATAAATTGATTTAATTACGACGTTGGGTTTTAAAGACTTATTAATTGACGTCACCTACACATATCAATGCTGATAAAGCACTAATTGACACGCACATCCCCCCCCCTCACGTAGTGTTAAGGAACTTCGTTTCCAAAAATATCTTACCTTGCCAAAAATCTAGGGTTTATCTAAAAGTCAGTCTAGGGTTTAAATATTAACCTCGACAAGCCGTGTGTTAAGGTCTAGATAGATCTATCTCAATCTCTATGCCAGTGTAGAGATCTCTATCTAGATGTCAGTCTAGAGATTAAATATTAACCTAGACTAGCCACGTGTGTTATTGCATGTCCGATCTTCACAACGACCAAAGTAATAATGTTCACAAATATTTATTTCTTAAAACGCGCCTCTGCATATATCGTGTATCAGAATGGTTGTTTAAGACTCACGAAGAAGATACCACGGAGCGTGACTTGACAAACCAAGATTTAACTGAACTTTGCGCCAGAACAATAAAGATTATAAAACATAGCTATATTTCGGTTAAATGACTACGTAAGAAGAACCTTTGTGTCATGAATACATTGAGGACAAGGATGTGTGGAAATGACTCTTGCTCTGCACTTGCAAGTCCCCCTGCTGTCGCTGATTTTATGCTTAAAAAATGATGTTACCAATTGACATCTACAACACTTGACGTATTTCAGATTTTAGCAAACATTAAAAACCCTTCCGTAAGGGTTCCGTACCATTATCTTTAAAACCAGCAAAAAAATCACGTTTGCTGTATGTGTCCAACTAAATGTTAAATGTTTTTTATTCTGTATTTTAGTATTCGTCGTTGTAGCGACCACATAAATACATAATCTGTGAAATATTCAACTGTTTAACTATCACGGGTAGTGAGATAAGGCCTGGTGACCGACGGACAGACAGACAGACAGACATACAGACTGATAGACAGCGCAGTCTTAGTAATAGGGTCCCGTTTTACCCTTTGGGTATAGAACCCTAAAAGAGTGTGCCCAGATACCGCACTCACTAAACGAAACGCGAAAGTATGATACTTAGACGTCATCTACTATGAGGCCGTGGCACTCACGGACTTGGACCCACATTGACATGTATGACCTAGATAATAGTCTTTGCTGACACATGTCACGATCTTTTGCGTGACGGAAACCCGAAATCATGGCTGTTTTATCCGACAGAATGTCCGTCCGTACGTGATCTATCTCTACCTACCGGAACGATATCGTAACTGCGTCTATTAACTGAGAACTATTCCGATAATACCAGTTGAATTACGCGATAATAGGTACTTTACTTGCGAAAACCTAATAAGTAATAAAGCCTTTAGCTAATGTGTCATATCGTCATCATCCTGCCCTTATAGGTGCGGTCGGCACAACATTTGAATGATACTGTAAGAGGTTTTGGCTATCTTTTACGACCGGCCGTCTGCATGACAACCTCCTTGGGAAACAAACAACCAGATCAGGAACAATTACCTGTCGATCACAAAAATACTTGTCTCGGGAGGGAATCGAACCCATGACCCATGACGCTTAAGCCAATAGCTTAACAACGGTGCCACGGAATCAGCCTTTATTTATTTTTATGTATTTATTTAAAGTACAACCACATCATAATATGTATTGGACATTTAAACAGCTCATTTGATTATAAAAACTTATTGCTGATATATACGAAAATAAAGGTGTACATAACATTGACAACATATGAAATAACAAAGTGGGTGTTTTAGTAATACGAGTATAAGTTAAAAATATTATAAATGTTTTAAAAAAAATTACTGACTACTATATAGTTTTGTTAGCAGCTCTTTAGATCTATCTTGTTGTACTTCTGGGTTTCGTCTGGTTAGTGAGGTGACCGGAGCCCACTTCATCGAAAGGCGGCAACGCGTCTGCACCACTACGGGTGTTGCAAATGTCCACGGTACATCAGGTGAACCGTCAGGTCGGTGCCACATTCTCATATAAAAAAGAAACAATAAACAAACAAATATCCAAAAAAAAAAACAATATCAACAAATCCAACTCCACGTTGTTCGACTGTACAAGTGTACATACATACTCGTGTAAGCGAGACAGTAAGCGATTTGGACTGCTGCGCGAAGGAGAGGACACTACTCCCCCCACAGCTCTGTAGTTCTATAGACTGTGTAGAGACCAATGAAATTATACATGTGTTTTCAATAAAGATAATTTACTGTACACATCTCGATTGGGTTCTAGGTTAAATCTGTATATAAATGCAATTGACATACCAGCGCAAATTGTACAAAGGTTGCAACAGCCAATGTCAAAGTTATGCCAGTAACGTCTTCGTTAAGCTAAGGTCACTAACGGGGCGTCAAATATATAGAGAATATGGTAAACTACTGTCACACGATGGCAGACGGTCACCACTGCTCAAGGACTCGATTCACGTCATAAGTCAGCACTTGAAACTGCAATTAAAAATTAAAAAAATAAATTAAATTAAAAATTGCGATTTTAAGTGCTGTTGCAATCTTTGGTGTCTGCACCGGGATTTGAACTCAGGTGGCCCGAGTATAGTGAATTAAAGGTGAGCACCAACACACTGACCTCTTAACAAAACAGATTCAACGCAAAAGTATAAATAAATTAATAATAGGTATTCTAGAACACATTTTTACACAACGTTCTCTAGTCCCAAACTAAGCAACGCCTGTACTATGGGTACTAGACAACTGATAAACATACTTTTCTTTTGTAAATAAATACATATTATACATATACAGGATGATTTTATAGACGACGGACATATTAACAGAGCATATGCAGATATTGATTATAAATCTGAATCTGGTACGCACTTGTGACCTCATGTTTCTATTTCAAAGATTATTCTTAATTCTATCAAATATTATGGACACCTTAAAAAATACCTTCCTTACCGTCTCAATACAATAACCTATTGTATTGAGACATTAACACACAATTACTAAACCACTTATCAATTGGATGACCACTCTTAACGGGATAAACAAACAATGTTTGAATTGATATTTTTCTTGTTATTTCTTGTCAAAATAAAATGTTAACATTTTTTTGAATTATGGAATGCTCAATTTAAATTTTCTTAAAGTATGTACTCCGTCTAAAGAATCACCCTGTATAATGATATATAATCAAAAAATATTTTTCCAATAGTCGGGATCAAACGCACACCCTCTGACGCAAGTAGGGTTGCCGACCATACTTTATAATGACGTATTTTACTTTATTTTCAATATTTCCTGTGATGCATCAAATAAAACACTATGTATGTGTACCTACATGAATAATTACTGAAATTTTATCAATACTTCTAAGTTAAAACATTACACTTTGAAATTACAAGCTTTTGCTGTTAATTATATTTTATAATTTGACAAAAACATTTTTTCCCCGGAAAATTTTATAACTTTTTTCTGTGTATTATTTTATAAAATGTCGTTTGATTATTTTTAAACCTCGAATATTTGTTGGATCAGTGTCTGTGGTTGCTAACTACATGCTTTCACAAATTTTAATTGTAACAAAAAATGAATTATTTTTTATTTAAATTGGGAATGTAAAGTTAGCTTTCAAAAATTTATGTATAGCGAAAAACTGTGTGTGCTAGAAGCATACAAAAATATATCTTCAAAAGAAGAAATAACAAAAATTTTGATAAATACTTTTTTTTCTTCCAAATACTTTATTTTTCTCAAAAACAGTTGTCAACTTGTTCACTACCTACTACGCCAATCGGGAATCCAATATAGCGGTATATACAGTTTAGAGCAGTTTTCAGTTCAGAACCTTAAAGAACCTTAAAGAACTTTAGAACCAGTTCAGAACCTTATAACAATATTGTTCGCGATTATACCAATGCGTAGTGGGAGCAAGACTGAGAACCCATCAATCAATCCCATTATACGCTACTCTGTGCCTTCGCCTTGTTAAAATAATTGTTAATAATTAATATATGTAAATCAATATTATAATATAATATAATTAATATATGTAATAATAAAAATTAAAATAAATAAAAAGCGTTCGGTGACGATGACGCGAGTTCCATGATTTTTGCTCACCAAAAAGTGCTCAACGCGACTAAAGAAATTTGCACTCCAAGTTTTAGGTCACGATTGTACATTTAGTAAATAAATGTTCTCGGTCATGGAGAATAACGAAATAAATGCAAATAGTTTACCCGAAATACCGCCTCAGTCGACCTTATAGTATAACCTTCTCGCTTACATAACAAAACATTGTCGACAACACGGCACACCTGAGCAATTTTATTGAGCAGTTACTCAACTTCAAAGTTATTGCATTTCCAACTTTACCTTGTGCGCAAGAAAGGCGGTTGGAATTCGACAGCGAGAGAATTACAAAGAACAGCATTAACAAGTCGTTCAATAATGGCCCTTGTATTTTGAATTTTATAACAAGCGCGAAAGAGTACGGAATGCATTGTTGCAGATATTTAAAAATATACCAATTACTCAACATAAACGCTTTTGTGAATGTTCGAAAATAATAAGTGAATGATGAGTTTACTGTTTTCGAACGCAACATTAAGTTGCGTTTAAAATATTGAAAGAATATAAAGGCACTTACAAAGCTGAATGCTGTCCTTGGTACTGAAACAAAGAATAAAAAATGATGAATGACATGTAAACGAATTATAAAAAAATAGCAATAGAGATCAAAATTGCCGGCATTTTGTCAACAGATGGCGCTGTTACAAACTACCTGCAAATGAATATTAAACGGAATTATTGGATAATAATGTATATATCTTATTTATGTGATATAATGCTTTCGTCTAGTTTTAGACCTATTTTACTTAAAGCTTAGAATATATATTGCTAATGTTCCCATTGGCAAAATATTTTCCAATATTAATAAGGTAACCGGTACAACGACTTTTTAATGTTGATACATTAGTTTAGAATTCAACCATTGTTAAACCTTTAGCAATGTTGCTACATTGTTCGGAAGTTGATTTATTTGCATACAACACTTGTAAAGATTTCGTTATACAATGATTGATTGTGAAAAGGTTCGCAGGTGGTATACCTGCCGACCTTGTTCACGAGAAAACGAGTATCAAGTTTGGTTCATTCGAGAAAACATTAAAAGTTGTTAAGGGCACCGACAAAAAGTATGCCCCGGGTGAGGATCGAACTCACGACCTTAAGATTATGAGACTTACGCGCTGCCTACTGCGCTACCGAGGCTATGATGTTGGTTAATAAATAGGTCATCTGATTCGCATTTTTATACGAAACCATTTAATTAAAGAAAATACATTGGCCGTATTAAAACCGGTATATATTTTTACTACCTAAAAGAATAGTATAAAAATTACAAACATATTTTAAGCAGGTGAAGCAATTTAGTAGACCGAACATAATTTTTTCAAATATTATTCATATTTATGATGAATATTAAACCTGGTACAAGACAATCACTCATGGCCATACAAATACTTTATTAAATCTGCGAAAATGGCTATTATATCAATCTACCTCATTAGGGTCAAGTCTTAAGTACTGATGTAACAGCAATAAATTAAATAATAATTTCACATGCACATGCGGCGCAATTTTTTTTTAAATATCTTTCATTATCTTTTTTTTAATAAATTTGTCAACTGTAAATGGCTTTTTGTGGGTTCGATACATTGGACAAGTCTGCGTGTACTGTTGTACCGTGATTTTCATGTTTTGTGGGAGTATTTTCTTAATAAACAATTGGTATATAATTAAAAAAAACTAAGAAACCCGACTGCGTGTCTCTGTAATTTTTTACTTTGATTTAACCAGTATACAGAGACCTGTGCAAATGTGCGGGAAGTTGATGGATGCGGGTGGCTCAGGATCGTACTTCGTGGCAGTCTGTGGGGGAGGCCTATGTTCAGCGGTGGACTCAATCAGGCTGGAATGATGATGATAATGATACCTAATAATAATAATATAACACCTCTCAAGCTAAATCCATCAAGCCATTCAATCTGCGGAGCGTGCCAAACAATTATACATACATACATTCATACAAACTCTCGAAAAACATAACTCTCCATCTGGCGTAGTCGGGTAAAAAAAAAGCTATCGTTAATCGCAAAGCTATCATTAATCGCATCTGAGAATGGAACCTGCGACCGAATAGACCCTTAGTCGAGCGATCCCGGCTTGCGGCGCTGAACCCTGATGACCCCAAAGCAGAAGCCGGTCCATACACGATGCGCTGCACTGGAGATCATCTGAGACACGTATCGGTCACTGACCTTGCGCTCGTGAGATCTTCGTGATATCTTTTCTTCGCTAGTACGTCAGGATTCTTTATGCTGATCCAATGAGGGCTTACAATCTTTATCAGAAAAAACCGGCCATCTGCGAGTCGGACTCGCGCACGGAGGGTTCCGTATCTATGAAAACGGCAAATCGTGTCTGTGTGCTCCCCACTTAAATATTTTTTTATTTTGTTTTTTTTAGTAATCATTGTTATAGCGGCAAAATCATCATCGTATGTGAAAATTTCAACCGTTTAACTATTACGGTTCATGAGATACATTATGGTGACAGACAGACAGGCAGACAGCGGAGTGTTAGTAATAGGGTTCCGTTTTAGCCTTTTTGTACGGAACCCTAAGAATATCATCATCATCCTCCTACCCTTATTCCACCTAGGTGGGGTTGGCACAACTTATGAATCATGTTGTAAGCGGCTGTGGTTTTGGCTGTATTTATTTCGACTGGCCGCTTTCCTGACGTTAACCCTCTTGGGAAACATATAAGGTAATTTATAAGACTTCAGAATGTCTGCCGCTTATTTGCGCCGCACAAAGTACAAAGACTTTCTCCTTATCAACCACATAGTCCTTGACTGGAATAAAAAAATACTAAAGAATAATAAAAACCGACTCCAAATATCTCACTATACATTTTCCATTTGATTTTGAGGAGGTTGTAATCTTGAAGTAGTTACTTGGAGGAACTCCTCAAATCCAACCTTCGGTGTTCCGAAGTCAAATGTCCACTGACATGGGACGCCCTGTGGTGTGGAGCCAAACCGAACCTAACGCAAAAAGGTACCTTCAAATCGATTGATAAATGATGGACTTTTTGGGGTAACGAACGTAAAAAAATACAAACGTATTAAGCACGTCCTCCTTTTTTGAAGTCGGTTAAGTGACTCGTAATTTGCCAATATACTAGCTGCTGCCCGCGACTACGTCTGCGTAGAATAGGCTGAAGAATAGGCGTAACATTTAAACAGATATTAATAAAAATATGTATATCAATTATAGTCTATGTGTTATTCTGATGTAAAAGCTATATTAGTGTAAAGTTTCAATAGAATCCATTCAGTAGTATTTGCGTGAAAGAGTAACAAACATGCATCCATACATACAAACTTTCGCGTTTATAATTTTAGTAAGCATGAATTGTATGCCTTTGAATTGAATAGTTATCTTATGATTCCCTTAACTTCATCAGACCACGACTTTGGGTCATCATCACTAAGGTGTCCGTGCTGTGCTAACAAAATAGAATCATTGTATTTAATATTTTGTGAACATAATGGTGATGGCTTAATCAGGACCGTGATAGCTCACTGTCTGGACGCTCGCTCTTAATTCAATATACTTGAGCAACTTAAGTACAAATCCCGGCACTAAAACTTATTAAAACATTCTTTCTTTAGTATGGTTAAATAGCATCGGATAAGCGCAAATCGTAACACAATCATATCATCATTCTCCAAGTGAAAGTTGCTTTAGCGTATAAGTAGATTCTGCCAATCGACGAGCGCGGGCTCTTGAGGAAACCAAGTTACCAGCTAAGTTGTCGTCCGTTTTTGGATGCTACTTAAACATACTTGTTCACCGCATTCTAGTACGCGACTTTGATTGAAGAATGCGATATACGGCCATAGTCGGTACGGTAGTGATGCGCTGTCGTAATTTCTTTTGTCGATGGAAATTCTCTATGATTATAGTTCATCGATTTTTACTTTACGCACACAAATGTACGGATTTTTATATGAGAACGTAAATTCATAATTAGCAAACAATATACTATGCGTTTACCATTTTCACTGTTTATTTGTGCAAAAAAAAATAAGAATGTAACATTACCCTACAAAGAAAATTCAGCGGCCGTAACACTGATATATTAAAGTTGAAAGAAAGCAATCGCTAAATCTTTATACTTATATAAAAATTTTGCTTCCCTATATCTTATATCGTAAAAATGAAAAACAAGCTGACGGATTGACTTGTTAATTGTTCGCATCATAACTATTGAACCTGTAAGTTTTACATAATTTTTATTCCGAAGTTCCAACGGAAATGAAAAAAGCTAAACAACTTGAACAATCGATTTTTAAGTATATTACACGTAACAAGTATTTTTAAGTATTCTTAAATCTAAATACTTAATTTTAAACACCTAACTATGCAGTCTAACCAGTCACCATGGCTATGTAAATTGATGGAAACGTTGTGGCATAATAACCAAAATTCAACGCGATAAAATCCCTATATAGTTGGATAATAGCGACACCGTAAACGGCAGTTTATCGATAACGCACAAGTCGGTTCGCCCATCACTAAAGCACATCTAAATCGAATGTTACGCTGAGGCGAACTAGGCGCCGTCCTTTCGATATATACCTGGAGTCGAATTCCTGCGTCTTATTCAGTTCGTATTTGTCACGAATATATTGGTTTAATGTAAATTCCCCTGAAATTGTAAAGCAAGCGTTTTAAGGCTCATGGGAATATAACGGGTAAAATTTTGATTCAATGTTTTGATACCACTCCACTATTCGGTTTCGGTTCTACATTTACACTATGGTTCTACATTTCGGTTGGAGTTTTGTTTTAGTTTTTGATGTAAGGTAATGACGCAACCACGGATAATGTGATTTTTTTATTTTTAACTGGCCAGCACTTGACTGCCATTGACATTGACATTGACAGATGATGAACTTTACCGCCATTTTAGCGCGATTATGTGATAATTTTTCACGAAGGCAAGTAAAAAAAATGCCAGCTTTAATTACAGTTATAGCTTTAATGCGCAATTCCCTAACTTTATGGAATTATTTAGTTATTTAAAATTAATGCAATTCTTAACAACATTTCGCAACGCCATCTTCAGGCGACTGGAGGGTACTACATCTAGAAAGAATTGCGAAGCAAATGAGTCACAGGTCGTTTTCTCACGCTGTTTTATTATTTACCTTTATTATATCCGTTTTCGAAGCGATTATACCAATCGCGAACGCTCTTAAACGTTTTTAATATCCGCTAGTGGGATATTACGCTGATTTTAATATTAATCCATCATGTTGCATTCGAAGGTTTTATATATGATAATTTGATAATTTATAAAAATAAATCTTATCCTTTAAACGATTTTTAATTTTTAGAAAATGTCCTTTTATCCTTTATGTTTATCCTTACCCTATCCTTTTATCCTTATATCTTTTATGTTTTCAGGGAATGAAAAATATCATTCGAATATCATATATATATATATATATATATCAACTGTTTCCTTATCGTTGGGATATCTCCTTTCCAATAAAAAAGAAAGTATCGGTTCAAAAAAGACGAAGTTATCCACGAACACACATAAAAAATAATATATCGAAATATATA